GCTTAGGGTCTTATCTCTTAAATATGTAATCGGGATGTATTTTCACTATGTCTGGGTCTGTTTTGTATCTCTCAAGTTGAATTTCAATGGAATTCCAGTTGTTGTGGTTATTGTTTTATTATTATTATTATTATTTTTTATTCACCAAAAGATGGATGTGTCTTCTGCTCGATCTTCTCTTCAAACTCATTAAGAATACTGGGATATGTCTTTCTGCACCAGTTTAATTAACTTCTTTAATTCCCTTATGAAATTTTTGTCTAGTATACGTCTCTCTACTTCTAATTTCCACGAGCTAGCATATTCAAACTATTATGCACCCATTCTCAACCGAAATTTAACATTTTTAAATTAAATTAAATTGATCAAGTTCAAGATTTTACTTGGAGTAAATATTAGCCAAAAATGATTTTACTTGTATAACATTATTTAATTTAAGAACAAAGCTAAAGATGAGAAGAAAAGAAGAGGAATACCTTTGAGGAAGAAGAAAAGAAAAAGAAGAGGAATAACCTTGAGCTAAGTATAGAAGAATGAAAAAGAGAAGGAATAACCTTAAGTTAGGAAGAAGAAAAGAAAAAGAAGAGGAATAACCTAAGAAAAGAAAAAGAAGAGGAATAACCTTGAGCTAGGTAGAAGAAAAGAGAAAGAGGAGGAATAACCTTGAGTTAGGAAGAAGAAAAGAAAGACAAGAGGAATAACCTAAGAAAAGAAAAACAAAAGGAATAACCTAGATTTAGGTAGAAAAAAATGAAAAAGAGGAGGAATAACGTAGAAGAAAAGAAAAACAAGAGGAATAGCCTTGAGCTAGGTAGAAGAAAAGAAAAAGAGGAGGAATAACCTTGAGCTTGGAAGAAGAAAAGAAAAACAAGAGGAATAACCTAAGAAAAGAAAAAGAGGAGGAATAACCTTGAGCTAGGTAGAAGAAGAGGAAAAGCAGAGGAATAAACTTGAGCTAGGAAGAAGAAAAAAAGAAAAAGAAAAAGAGTGGAATAACCTAAGAAAAGAAAAAGAAGAGGAATAACCTTGAGCTAGGAAGAAGAAAAGAAAAACAAGAGGAATAACCTTGAGCTAGGAAGAAGAAAAGAAAAACAAGAGGAATAACCTTGAGCTAGGAAGAAGAAAAGAAAAACAAGAGGAATAACCTAGAGCTAGGAACAAGAAAAGAGAGGGGAGGAATAACCTTGAGCTAGGAAGAAGAAAAGAAAAAGAAGAGGAATAACCTTGACTTAGGTACAGGAAAAGAAAAAGAGGAGGAATAACCTTGAGCTAGAT